ACCAAAACTACAATTCCTTCTCTGTAGAGACTGTTACATCTTCATTTCCATTCCCCGCCCCCCAAACCATTATGTACATTTTATTTCTCCCATCAAGAGGTTACTTTTTATCAGTATCTTTTAGTACTGTAGGTGGCTATTCTATACCAATGCTTTTTTTAAGGAGACCCCTTTGTCTAGGAGCAATTTAAACATAATTATTGCCCTTGATAAAACCAAGGCTTAAAAAAATCCAACAATTCTGTTTTCCTCTTGATATTTTTAATACTTTTGATAAACCCTTTATAAAAGCATTAGCTTGAGTATGGTAAACTGCTCTCAAAATGGTTACAGCGCTCTCTTGACCGGTAGTTATCCGAATTAGGTTCTTTCACTGCTTTCAGTGATGGTGATGGTGATGGTGATGCTAAAATGTGCTAGCAGATAATTTTGTCTTATGTAGGAGTGTACTGTGTTAAAGAGGTGTTAGGCAGTAGCTTTCCTACTCGTCAGCCCATCTTTGCATTCACACTGAATGACTTGCACGTTGCAAAGGGTGCAGGGAATATGAAAAGTATGACAATAGCGCCTAATCGCAGAGCTTGTAATTTTGTGTCATTGCCACAAGCTAAACCCTAGGCACTGCCTTCTTTTCTGGACGTTCAGGCATTGGCAGTTAGTATGCACTGTAGTGTAGTACAAACATCAGTTAATGTTTCCATATCAAATCCTGATAATCTCCTTAACTGTGAAAACTAAGTAGTTATTCCTCCTCTTTCCATAATTCTTATTTTAATGAAATTGTTTGGGTTTCTTGATTATTTCTAATAGTGGGACACAGCAGGCCAAGAAAGATTTCGAACAATCACCTCCAGTTATTACAGAGGAGCTCATGGGATCATAGTTGTGTATGATGTGACAGATCAGGTAAGTTTCTGGAGAAAATTATGTTATGGAAACAAAAAGTAGAAGTTATTAGTTGATTATCTTTCTTTTACTTTGCATATGTCATCAGTGTTCTTTGTGTAGCAGAAAATTTCATTCACCACTATATAAATGAATCACATTAAAAACATGTTTTAAAGCAGTCCTTTTAAAACAGGTACTTTATTTTTTCTTCCCTCCATCATTTGTTTTTTTTTTTTTTTTTTAACTCTTTTTTTTTTTTTTTAAAAGATTTATTTATTTATTTGTTTGTTTGTTTATACATACAAGCACTGGGTACAGTCAGAAGCGCGGGAGGGTGAGAGAATTCACCAGAGCCAGAGCGGGGAGCAGAGCAGGCAGAAGGACCGAAGGACACTGCTGAGGGGAGCAGCGGGCGGCAGGAGAGGTCTGCGCGCCATGTGGGACCCTCCTCTGGTGGCCGGGGAGCAACCGGGGATGGAACTGGCGCCGCGTAGACTGCGGGCAGCTTCGCAACCCAGCGCTCAACCGCTGCGCCACCGGGGAGGCCCTCCCTCCATCATTTGAATACTCATGGATTGTTGAACCAAAACTTCCTACTTTCCTTTAGTAAATACATAGAAAATTAAAAATTGACATTACATATGCTTTTAGTGGACTCTGGTTATATTTATTATCAACTAAATAATTGATCATTTTGGCAAATTTTTAGGGAATTGTGGAGTTGTTTGGTTTATACTATGTTCTTGGTGTTATGTAGTAATGGGAATTTGCCCAGTAATTAGACCGATAAGAACTGACAAAAGTGAGATTAGGGTTCTCTGCCTATGGAGGATATGGTTCAGAAATGGGATGAGCTTAGGAAGATTTTAAGATTACAGTGAATATCTTAAGATTAACTGTTGAGAGAAGGCAGGGAGAATTGTGGGAAGAATGTGGTACAAGAACCAAAATTGGTTTTGGATCAGAAAGTTAGGAAATTGGGCCTCCCTGGTGGCAGAGGCAGTTGAGCGCCGCACTGTAAGGCTGTCCGCAGCCTCTGCAGCGTGGGTTTGATCCTGGCCTGCCAGTGAGAATCCCACCAAAGCAGACCTCTCCTCTCAGTGTGTTTTGTCAATCTGCTTGTTCTGTTCCCCACTCTGTCTCTAGTGAATCCTCTTAACCCTCCTGTGTATTTGGCGTGTACCCCGGTTCTTGTATAAATAAATATATTTCAAGGTCTTTTTTTTTTTTAAACTTCAAAAAATTAGAATTTGTCTTGTAGCAAATGTTAACCTCACCTCAACTGTGAAATTATAGCTTAATGGATTACTAGAATCACAGATTAAGATGACTGCCACTGAAGTACTGTGAGATACAGGAGGAAAAAAATGCTAACCTCAAAAATCTCAATTTATTACCATGAAATATTTAAAAATGAAAAGTTTTTCCTGTTACTATGACTCTGAAAAACAAACTTCCCTATTTTGGACTCATTTAATAATTTTTTTATTAAGATTATTTATTCAAGAACCGGGTACAGGCCAGATGTGCGGGAGGGTGAGAGGATTCACCAGACACACAGAACAGGCAGAATGACCAAAATACACTGCTGAGGGGAGCAGTGGGCGAGACAGGAGAGGTCTGCTGTGTCATGTGGGTTGCTCCCTGGCCCGCAAGGATCGAACCAGCACTGCAAAGGCTGCAGGCAGCTTCATGGTGCTGCGCTCAACCACCTGTGCCACCAAGGAGGCCCCTATTTAATAACCATTTGACATCTCTAATAGTAACACTTGGGAGGGTATCTTAAAAGTTTTATCAAATTTCAAAAACCAGGCTTTTGTAGTGCATTTAAAGTGCATTCCAGAACAATTAATTTGCCTTGCCCGTAGTTTAATGTTGAACTCTCAGAGTATTTTCATCCTCAAGCTTTCAAATTTTAATTTCTCCATTTAGATATGTATAATTTATCGGTTCACTTCTATCACAGCACTGCAGCTATTATTTTGTAGCCAGTTGTCTGACTAGTTCTTCGTAGGTCCAGAAAGGCATTTCTCTTTATCACTTGTTTTACTGGAGTTGCGTCCAGAACTGTATTACCATTCTTAAAAACATCTGTCTTCTCAGGAGTCCTTCAATAATGTTAAACAGTGGCTGCAGGAAATAGATCGTTATGCCAGTGAAAATGTCAACAAGTTGTTGGTAGGGAACAAATGTGATCTGACCACGAAGAAAGTAGTAGACTACACAACAGCAAAGGTATGTTTAAAGTTTGATTTTCAAACTGAACTTGGTGGATAGTTTAATTTGAATTACACGTGGGTATGGAGAAGTGGGTACAATGGCCACAACTGCTTTAGCTTTTAAAGTGATTACTAGAATATTCTGGTGACAGTTCATGTCATCTGTCTGAATCCAGTGGACTTAGTCCTTACTTACTCTCCATTTCAGATGATAGAAATGTACTAAATATAAGAATTTTTTCCAGTGTTAATTTTGCCTTATTTATTCTCATAGGAATTTGCTGATTCCCTTGGGATTCCATTTTTGGAAACCAGTGCTAAGAACGCAACGAATGTAGAACAGTCTTTCATGACAATGGCAGCTGAGATTAAAAAGAGAATGGGTCCTGGAGCAACAGCTGGTGGTGCAGAGAAGTCCAATGTTAAAATTCAGAGCACTCCAGTCAAGCAGTCAGGTGGAGGTTGCTGCTAAAATCTGCCTCTGTCCTTTTCTCACAGCAATGAATTTGCAATCTGAACCCAAGTGAAAAAAACAAAATTGCCTGAATTGTACTGTATGTAGCTGCACTACAACAGATTCTTACCGTCTCCACAAAGGTCAGAGATTGTAAATGGTCAATACTGACTTTTTTTTTATTCCCTTGACTCAAGACAGCTAACTTCATTTTCAGAACTGTTTTAAACCTTTGTGTGCTGGTTTATAAAATAATGTGTGTAATCCTCGTTGCTTTCCTGATACCAGACTGTTTCCCATGGTTGGTTAGAATATATTTTGTTTTGATGTTTATATTGGCATGTTTAGATGTCAGGTTTAGTCTTCTGAAGATGAAGTTCAGCCATTTTGTATCAAACAGCACAACCTGTGTCTGTCACTTTCCATGCATAAAGTTTAGTGAGATGTTATATGTAAGATCTGATTTGCTAGTTCTTCCTTGTAGAGTTATAAAAGGAAAGATTACACTATCTGATTAATAGTTTCTTCATACTCTGCATTTACTTTGTGGCTCCAGAATATTGTAATTTGTTGCACACTATGTAACAAAACAACTGAAGATATGTTTAATAAATATTGTACTTATTGGAAGTAATATCAAACTGTATGGTGATAAGTATTGTTTTAATTCTTATGGTTAAGGGAAATAGAGCCTTGCATTATATTCAAAATAGCCATTTGTGTGTGCAACCAGGGCACTGTAGACCTATCTTAGAGCAGCGATCAATATGCTTTCCAGATAATATCCTCAATAAATGACTGAGGAAAGCCTGGTTTCTGTGTAGGGATTTAACCAAGCTTAGTGGTTCAGGGACATTAAATTGTATGGAAGACAAGTTTAAAGCATATGCTGTCTAGCCTGTTATCTCAGTCCTTCTCTAAAACTATTTGAAATGGCTTCGATTAATATTTTGTAAATTCCCTAAATGACAAATGATCAGACTAACACATGGGCTAATACCGTTTCTTCCATACTGAGTCAGATGTCAACTATTTTATCCTCCACATTGTTAAACTTAGGTTGGAGGAGAGTTAAAAGCACTGAAATATAGAAAGCAGGAAATTTATTATCTGATTGCCCTAATTTTAGTAATTATAGCCCTAAAAATTAACCAAAAACACAAATGCTGGCTAGGAAAGATAAATGAAAGAATTATTTATTTCAGTGGAATTTTGCACATGTGAAAACGTTGTTAAATGGGACTTTAAAGATCCTAGGGGTTGTTTTTATTGTGGGAAACAAAAACCCTTTGCTGACACTGGCATCTGATGGTGACAGAAGTCAAAGATTGTTTCCTTGGGATTGAAGGTATAGCAGCCAAAACATTTTTTTCTTATGGGCTTGGGGTGTGGCTGTTGGCAACACATTTTATGGTGGCATCTTTAATTCAATGATAAAATTTAAACAAAAAACAAGCCAAAAATTATAGGTTTCTTTATTTTCACTAAACAGGCAATTGAAATACATGGTACAAAAATAAGTGGTAAGATTATTGTAAAATGAAATGGACAGAATATTAAACTTAATTTTCCATCTATGAGAATTTCACAATAAAAATCATAGTTTACTTTGTATTATAGACGTGCTTGTTGGATCTATTCATCCTCACATAAGGCAACTGGAAAATTCCTGAAGTTACTAACTTGGGTGAAATTTTTCAATGCTTTAAAAAGGGGTAAAGCATTCAGAAAACTATTTTCTAAAGAGATGACAACAAATGTTAGACAATGTGATGCCATGCACTTCAGTTTTAAACAGCAAGTTGTTCAAACGCTCAGCTTATTCTTGGTGAGTGAGCAGAAGACATTAAACATATTTACATATTTCACTTTGGAAATTCTAGTCTTCTTTTCCCCATAACAGTTAAGACAGTCAAACTTGGACTTTAACCACAAGATAGTTCAGCATGCTTCACTATTTGCTTTTATGAATATGCTAATACATGGAGTTTCGAGGAAAAAAAAAAATTCCCATTTCTACCCCCATTTCAAAGTACAAACATTTCAAGCCACTATGGGTCTTACTAATCAATTAAATTTAATAAAGTGATCATTTATATATTTTCAGTGTAAGCTGAAACTAGCTTACATAAATGAAGAGTGTTCTGTGCCTAAGCAGTCACAATATCTGGAAAATCCTTGCAGAATGATAACCATTCTGGTCTGAGCAGTAACTTTCTATCTGACTTTAGATAAAATTTCCCTTAGCATACATGTTGCCATTGCAGCAAACCTTCCTTTATGTTCCCATTTAAGTCTATATTGACATTGTCTCCTGTTTGCAGATGAGCTCAGACATGGAGCTACAACAAGAATTCAGGTCTCGAATCTGCCAATCCAGCTTTTAGTACTGCCATTACCCTGTGGACTTAAGTTCTACTAATTTAAAGGAACTACTAGGAAATTTTACAACAGGTAAAGTTGGGATTTCAAAACCACTGTTGTGTCTGTAAGCCATTATTGTCCTTAGGCTGATGTTAACCATAGTGCTAGGCTATTTGAAACTAACCCAGGCACACTTACTTTCCTCATGGAAATGCTGCTGGTGACTGCTTCTTAGGCAGAAAAGAATTTCAGCTTGAGTTTTAAGGGCTATCTTAAACTCTTAAAGCACTGCTGAATACTAAATTAACACCGGTGTTGATATTTTCCAGTGACATTCACAGCCAGGTCCAGAGTTAGCACCTTTCAGTTGTATTTTATTTCAAAGGAGATGAACGAAAGTAACTCAGATAATCTCTAAGAATAATTTCTTAGGAGACAAGGTACTCCCAAATAAAATATTCCACAAAAATTCCTGTCAGTTTAAGGTAACTGCAATTATTAACCACATCAAAGAGGTGAAATATATCAATTTAAGAACCGGTAACACTAGACATTATTTGCCCTTTTAACCAATTCTAGGCTCTTAAGGATAGTATACATATTTATTAGAAGGTTGTTGCATCTTTTAAAAATCTCACTATGTATGAAACCAAGGTTAATACGGAGTTGGCAAAATCACAGTAAGACTTCTGTTGATGAGGTGGATGAGATGGTATAAAGATTATGTGGCTCAGACCATGAAACTAAAACCTTCTTTTAAACAAGTAATTTTGTATTAAAGTTTTGTTTTAAGGGAAGGGAGTAAGTCTGCACATTGGGATGATGTTCCAGTGTCACCTCTTTGAGTTCAAGATGACTTGTTCATTTCTTTATAAAAGATTTTCTTTCTTAAGCACCCTCCTCAAATGAGAATCTGACCAGAATCTGAAAAGATCTATATTATCTTACCTACAAGTGTGAAGAAGTCTTTCCTTTAACTCCTTAGTCCACTGTAATACTAAAGATGGGGAGGGAGTAGAGAATGTGCTTTCCTCCTTCCAAGCTCATGCATGGCCCAGTAGAACTTTGAAGTGCTGTTTTAGTCATTTGCATCCGTGATAAGCAACCATCTTCCTTGACCTTTGTTTACTCTTCCGAGGATGAGTATGAATGAAAGATATTTGAGCACACGAATGCTCAATGACAGTTCTCCAAATCCCTGCCAGTTTCTTTTTTTAAGATAGTAGTTTATGTAGGCAGATGGTGTCCTAAGGCTCTGAAGATGACAAGATATCCTAACAGCCCAAAACAATTACAGAGTTCAGAACATGCTCTTACATTTAGAGGTTTAAAAATCTCTTAAATCTTCAGCAAGAGATTTATAAACTTAAGCTTCATATTATGAAAACACCCAAAGTTCCAGGCCAACCACTGACTCTCTTTCAGTCTCTTGGATCCTGCACTTGCCTGAGAATGCCAAGTAAAGGTTTCTCCTGCTACCTCAAAGTTAGAACATTCCTTTTGGTATGATTTGGTAGGTTACTTTTTGGGTCTGGGGACACTATTACCATTATATGAAATTTTTTTCTGCATTCCATTATCCAAAAAACAACCTGCCTCCTCATAGCTGAATAAGAACTATCTATTTCCTGACAGCAGTGGAGATCTGTATTTGGTACCTTCTTTCTCATACTAGCCTTCTTTAAATGACCTATGCAGATGGACTAGTTTGGGAGAGCTGTCTGCTCTTTTTACTAGCTAAAAGGGGAGAAAAGACCTGTCAGTCTCATTGGCATTTTATCAAAACTGCAAAACCACATGTTCTTTGAAGAGAAGCACCAAAAGGAAGACCTTAGTTTGGAAGGATCATTTTAAATAAAAATAGTAATTCAATAGCCCCTACTCAAGGGAATAGAAAGACACTTTAAATCTAATACATTTTAGAGTTAAATTTCCCCCTTGATTTCAGTGTTAAATGGCTCTTACAAGGACTTCCTGAAAGTTTCCCACCAACCAGGTTAGGGTTGGACAGTTATACCTCTGTCTGAGAAGATGCCTGAAAGAGAAAGAGAAGTATGTGTTACAGGCAGAAGCTGCAATGGAAGAATCAACAACAGCAACCACCTGCATTCATTTTACAACTACACTGATTGTGATGCAAACACAGGGACTCCCTGCTTTTGTATAGCTGGACTTTGTATCCTTTGTCATCTTTCGTCTACAGTTAACTCCCTCTAAAAAATCCTAGTTAAAGCACTACATTAGTTGAGGGAAAGGAATTTTCGGAGAAAGCACGGTTCACCTGTGGAATCAAAAAAATATTGGGCTCCTCTTTCCTGTCATTCCATTTTGACTTTCCTCAGAGATCAAAGGAGTCTTCTAAGTCTCCAAGGCATATTGCCCCATCTAGCTACCTAGCCATTTGGTTTTCTGTTGGCACTTGGTGCTGTCAAGATGAAATCCCAAATAAGTTGGGTGAGGAGCCCGCTGAGCAAAGTAGCTTGGTGATGTCTTTGCACTGCAGTATGCATGTGCAGAAACAAAATGTAGGGGCTTTTGCTGCTATTATCCTTGGGTGCAGGGGTGGTGGTATTGGGAAGTCTTGCAGTGAGCCTTCATTACCACAGGAAGACACCACCCCCCCCACGCACACACCGCACTGTCATCCTGTCAATGACAGCAACTACTATCTTAATGTTTCTCAGTACCAGGGGCTTCTCCCAGTATCTTGTTTACTTTAGTAGCTTTTAGCTCAACCAGCTTCTAAAATAACAAGCAACTAATAGAGCAGGAGCTCTACACCATGCTCTAGCACTAGGACCCAAGGATGGATTTTCTTCTCTTGGGTTTTCCTACTTACCAGGCAAAAGCCCTTCACATCAGTGCTCCTGGGTGCCACCGGTGTGTTGTGGGGTAAGGGGACAGCCAGCCAGCAGGTCCAGAGAGGCTAGGATAGAGTCATACAGGCGATCCGCATGGCTCTCGAGCTCACTGGGCTGCTTTGCGATCCTCCCAAGGACATCCTTTAACACTTACAAGTGAGATTCAAAGCAATTAGGCCAAAAAAAACCATGCAAGCATATCTTCCAGAGAACATACAGGGGTGTAGCATTTTACACAAAATAGAAACAGTAGTTTTGGAACATCTGCCTTTTTTAAACAGTGATTCTTTGGGGGTTTCTACCACACTGGAGAATCTATGTTGCTAACTTCTGATTAAAGCTGAGAATTTACTGATTGTCAGTTCGGAATGCAGTGAAAATATGCTTCCACATTCACAGACGAAACCACAGACGTGGTTCTTTGGTGCCTGCTATCATCTGATTTTAAAGATGCACACCAGATCCTGTGGGGCAGATGGCTGAAATGAAACGGAACATGCCAGTATTAGGATGCTGAGTCCTGCTACCACATCCCATCAACTTCTGTTGGCATGTGAATGGATGACCCAGTAATATTTCAGAATGCCAGTGGAACTTTTTTTGAGTCCTAAATAAGCACGCTTGTTTTTTCCCTCTGAAAAATTTTACTTCCTTTGTTAAGCAGAGGCTGCTTTAGTTTCCTGTGCCTTTATCAGCTGTGTTAAAAACTCTCCCTAGTATCCTGCCACAGTTGCAATATCTGTCAGCAGCGGAAGGAAAAGGGGAAGCTGTGTATCTGCAGAGGATGCTGACGGATGGAAAGGAGAAAGCTCAAAGGGTGGCTGTTCTGAGCTCAGCTCCTATGAAGCCCCATCAGTGCGGCGTCATTAGAAGAACAAAGTGCCGTCCTGACAACTCACTAGAGCTGGCAAGGCCCTGCAGAGGGATGAGTCAGTGCAGTAAAGCTAGGTAACTGGGCTGGGTTCCCCCTCCACGTTCACCAGACCTTTGCTCAGTCCTGTGTGTTGCTGGTGGACCTTTTTTTTAAAAAAACACAAAAAACAAAAACTTTCATTTTAGAATGTTATAGAATGGTGGGACCAAGTAGAAAGAAAGCTGGGAACAGGTATGAAATCATCTTTCCCAGTGAGACTTTCATATTTTAACAGACTGCACACATATAGGGGCCTGGTTCAACTTAACGCCAATAGGTTTGATTGATCTGATCCAGTACAAAGGTTTGAACTGCACAGGTCCAGCAAGGGCAATACTGACTGTAAACCTTGCACCCTGTATGCTTAGATGTTTTCTTGAAGCCTGGGATCTTTACATTTTCCTAAACTGGGAACCCATCCTACAAAATGGGCTCAAGCTTAGTTTACACACCACTGCCATCCTGTCCCTTCCCTTCTTTCTTGGGTCTCTCCCTTTAGGACAGACTGCTCTCAAGTCATGAAATGAATTCCTCCCCAAAGCAGGTAACCAGAGGCGTTCAATCTATGCTAAAAAGGGAGGGGACCCCCGAGGTCTCCCCACTATGAATACCATAGCCAAAACAAACAAAACCAGTAAGCTGGATTAAAACCAGCAGTTCCCAGGACACCAGAGAAAGATAAAAACAGAAGCAAGAGTATCATTCTTAGAGGCTGGATGCCTAACTTCTGCCTGGCTTAGCTTTATGACAGTGTTTGTAGGGGCAGTGAAATGAGGACTTGGCACATGATCACGGGCAGCTGGCGGGGGCGGGGGAGGGCAAGTGGGAAGGCTCTTACACTGGCTCCTTACAGTGACAACAGTTGACAATGTGCATCCCGGGACCTGCTAATGAGAGAGACTGAATGCTGGCTTGATTCACCGCCTTAACAAGCATCTCACCTGGGGTATTATCCAACAGGCACTGAAGAAGAATCTCCCCTTTCTGTAAGACACTCTCTGTCAGGGACTCGTGTTCATCTATGTCTTTCTTAAATTGCTTGAAGCACATATGAAAAAGAAAAAAGTTAATAATCATTTTGTAAATTATTCAAAGTGAACCCATGCAGGCTTCATCAGTGGGTGTCAAGTAGTATAATTACTTTCTTCTCATTTTAACCCTCATTCTGTCCTGTGCCTCAACTTCCAGGCTAGTTAGACACAACTATCTTGCTTAATAGAGCTGAGATATGTACTACAAGTTACCCCTCCTAACCTGGAAGATAAACCAGTCTCCAGAATTTCCCAAGTAAATGGCAACAGCTTAACTTCACCCTCTATGAGCCCAAGATTAAAACAGTGTCAATCCTTTTTTCTGTTTACATTTTGACAGAAGAGGGTTTTTTCCCCCCTTGCCTGAGTGGGGTTCAGGAACATTTCGGGGTCAGGGTTTTTCCTCTTTGTGCCACCCTTTACAGGGGTCTTTAAACTCACAGGACTTTGGCATTTCAAAACAGCCTTCTATTCTCATGGACCTGCTGAGAACGACAAGAAATCTGGTAACTGGACCATATTCCTCCATCCATGTCCTTCCTTAATATCCTGCTCAGTGCAAACTACTTGATAACTTAGACCTCATGAAGACTGGGGAAGTTGTCTCCTGAGCTGCTGATTTGTTTTCCACTTGCAGATACTGACCTTGTTTTATGCTTTAGCTGCCAAGAAATGTAAAGTCAAATTCATAACCATCTTTAGGACAGGTATAGAGCTTGGAAATTTACATTTTGAAGTAATAATTTAACTCCTGAACTTAGTATATTCTTGTCTTCAATTTTCCTTTGCCCTAATATGTACGCTTACTTTATTACGCTGCCACAAACCCATTGTGTTAAGATGAAGGTATGAGACAGTCACAGTTAAAATTGTGAACATATTTATGTTAGGTATCTAAGCATTTGAGGTAGCTCCTATCTATGACCCATGTACCATTCATTCTACATGGGGAGGAGTTAACAGTGTGACCCCACTTTGTGACATGGTCATGCGGGAGATACAAGAGCTAGGCTTCACTGACATGCAAGGGTAACTTGCAGCTAAGATCTCTGTTCTATAAAGCCAGATATTTGCTTCTAACTAGTCTGGAAGTTGAGGCACAGGACAGAATGGGGGAACACCATTATTCTACTTGGTACCAACCCAGTGGGGCTGAGGTACCCTGGAGATACCATGAAAGTATTTCTAGCAAGGGCAGTTTTCTTTCCCTTCTGTGGTACTGCCCCAAGCTTCCTGGGGTGGCTGCACAGCTCTGTGTATGCACTCAGGGGCTGCACACACAGGTTTTAACACTTAGCCTTCCTGTCCTCAAGCAAACATGGCAAGGAACTCATGGCAACCTCTCCAGACTGCAGGACTCTGCATTCCCATTAGAGTAAGGCTGCTGGTCCACTGACTGCTGGGATGAGGTCCCTCCTTTAATTTTAGTGGGTCCCAAGTTAGAAAACAAAGGCTCTTCCTCTTGCTGGATATGGTAGCTCTTGAGTTGGCTCAAACCGGGTGGTGCAGTAAAGCTCTGACTCAAGCATGTGTAAATCATGCCCTCTTTTAAAAGATGTGGTCAGGTTAATAAAGTGGCAGAAATGCAAAAACCTGTCCTAGAAAACTTTCTAGACTAGTATTAAGCTTTGATCACAAATGTCATCTCTGCTTCTTCATAAGAGATTAGAAGGACTTGGCCAACCAGACATTCTAGAAGTCAGCCAGGAATACAGCATAATTACATAATATAACATCTGATTCAGAACACTTCTGAAAATGAAGGGGGAGACCTATTAATAATTTTGGAATAGGACAAACTACCCCCCTAAATACACCCCACCAAATCAAGTTAACCAGAACCCAGCACAAAGAGATTTTTAAAATAAAACCTTGGGTCTCCCTGGTGGCCTAGGTGGCCTCACTGCTACCATTGCAGAGGCCCACCATGATGGCCTGAGTTCTATCTCTGGCCAGGGAGCTGACCCACATGGCACAGCAGACCTCTCCTGTCTTATCCGCTGCTCCCCTCAGCAGTGTATTTCAGTAGATCTGCTTGTTCTGCGCCCCATTCTATCTTTGGTGAAACCTCTCACCACCCCCCACCCCAGATCTTTGGCTACACCCCAGTTCTTCTACACAAAAATAAATAAAACCTTAAAAAAAATCGTAATGAAAAACAGGTGAAACTCTTAAAAAACACCGATAAGCAAACTGATATATTTTTGTCTGTTCATGGAGTCAGTACAATTCATTTCAAATTCTTAAATAGTGCTTGTTGTCCAGTAGACCATTCTATGAAGATGTACTCTTCAATTTGGTAGCCACCAGACAAATGTGACTGAATACTTGCAGTGCAGTTAGTGCAACTAAAAAATCTGAATTTCTTAAATTTTACTTAAATAACCGGGTGACAAGTCTAGTGATTGTATTTATCAATCCATGAGAAACTTGCGAATTACTCTTATGTAGTTGTAACTGAAGATAAGTATGTTTTCTCTGAACTCTATTTGGCCTGAGAAGTAACACACAATTTTAGTTTTCAGCATGAAAACTTTGAAAAAGGCCTCTGACTAGATTTTAGATAAAACAGTTGAGCTACAACATAGAACATCAGTTATTTGGGAGTTAACTTTGTAATCAAGTAATTTAGTCATGAGTGAAGTGCCAAAAGCCAGGACCATGTATTACCCGGTAAAGCTGCAGAGAAGACTTGAGACCAGTAAGACTGGACTTGAGTGGAGTCAAGTGGTCGGTAATGTCAGCCACATTATAAAGCCAGAGGATTAGCTCTTCAAGTTGACAGCAAAAAGTCTGTTGGAAAAAGAACACATTACTGCTTGCATGCTCCTTTACATTTTCAAAAGGCTAAAATTTATCCAGGGAATTCTGGGAAGTAGACTGTGCATCTTCCCAGCACTCTCTAGTTTGAGGCCTGAGTCTCGTCTCTTCCCTCTGCTTGTTTCTACCCTATGACTCTCGACCTCTGCCAGGACAATACGAAGAGCCCCATTTTGGTTCTTTCTCTCCTTAACAGGAGAGAAAACATATTTTTGATGTAAAATCAAAAGCACCAGCTGAGAAAAACCACCCCTGCTCATGGGACTAGAGCAACTAAGGGACAGAAGGAAAAGCTCAGAGGCATGCCTGCCACAGAAACTAACTCGTGGGTCAGCACCACTATAAAGTTGCTCCTGGAAAAACCATGGACATAAAATAAATGTCCATTATAGTGACTAACCTAAACCAGCTGCTTGTCCATTCCACGAGCCAGAGTTAGGCCCCACCCTAGGAAGGCTGTGTATACAAGAACTGGGGTACAGGCCAGAGGTGCAGGTTGTGAGAGGATTCACCAGAGACAGAGTGGGGAACAGAACAAGCAGGCAGACTGAAATACACTGCTGAGGGGAGCAGCGGGCAAGGCAGGAGAGGTGTGCTGGGCCATATGGGTAGCTCCCTGGCTGGCCGGGAATTGAACTCATGCTGCAGAGGCTGTGAATAGCTTCAGTTTTTTTAACCCTTTGCGCCATCAGGGAGGCCTGCAATCTTTTATGACAAAGGAGGGCACATGCTAACATCTGCTTATCGTCTCCGTAAGACAAAATAACCTGCAGGGAATCAGGGTGTAGGTGAAAGCATTCCTGGAATGCCAGATCTGTGGTGCTGGCTCACAGACACAGCCCTCTGGCTGGGTGGATGCGGTGTCTGCGTACTCACCTGGGAGGCAGGCACGGGGACTCTCTGAGTATGAGGGGAATCCTATTCCTCAACCACCTTGTGTCAGTCCTCAAAATGGATTATTTCATGTAATCCACACAACACCCCAAAGAGGCATGGCTCCATGTTTCACAAATAAGCACATGCAGAGACTGAGCCAAAACTCCAAAGACAACATCTGACTCTGAATACAATATGCCTGAAACTGACTACATAATTCCAGAGTATTAAGTCTCCAGATATTTGCAGGTGACAGACAAGAGTAGGCTTGGTGGCCAAGAGGTCTAGGAAATGGCACATCCACTACTCCAGGTGCTATAGTTACAGCACTTTATCAAACTGTAGCTCTAAGGAATCCCATTGTTAGAAAGCCACTTACCTCTGTTAAGCCCTTAAAAGCCTCCAAGCACAGCCCTTTTGTAAGAGCACCTCTTAATCCTCAAGGTCAAAGCCTTGGGAAGCAGCCTGGGATAGTGGTTGAAAGTTCTCAATCTCTAGCCCTTACAAACTGTGGGTGGGCGGGTTACCTATCCTTTAGCTGCCTTTTTCTCCAAATGAGTGTACTCCTGATTGGGTAGAAATGTGAGGGTCAAACAAGATACAGTACAGTGCCTGACACATAAAAAGTGCTTGATATCACTAAGTTAGCGGCAAAGCCTCAAATGTTGTTTTACCTTCACACACTGCACGAGAGATTCTTTCCCCTGCTCTCTTCCAGCACCTGGTTCCGAGAATGCCTGCTGGCCTGACACAGCTGGCAAGGAGGAGCGTGTTCTCAGCGGTCTAGAGGAAATCCCCAGGGCCTGACTGTTCACTTGACTCCCATCCACTGCCGAGTCCCCTGCATGGACTAAAGAGTGTGGCAAAGGGGGATTCTGGTTGTCAGGGTCCCTGGACACTCTGAGTGTTGCCCCAGGGCGAAGCTGGCTTTGATTGGAGTCCGATGGGAGGGAAGCTGGCCCATCACTGTCTGATATATCCGGGGAGCTCTGCCCTTCAGCAGCCCCAGAGGGAAGGGTCACTGAGGTAGGAATGGAACCTAGATATGAAATCAAACTAGAAACTTGCGTGAGTCGTGTGGGCAGGGCAAGATACTCCTCATCACTTTCCATCTCTTCTTCTGATTTCCATCCAGATTTTGTGCAGACAGAGGGCCGGACACACTGGCTGGCCCCTTTCTCTCTTCCTGGTCTGGATGACAGCCACCCTCTGTTCCATTTCCTCAGCTGAGGAGAGCCCACCTCAAGGTGCTTGTCCATAGGCAGCCAGTCTTTCACACCCCTCAGGGCTGGCTCTCTGCTCTCCCAAGAGGTGTCCCTACTGTCTGAGGCTCTGGGGGTAGAGGCAAGCTGTCCAGAAGATGCCAAGACCCTGCCGCCCTGCTTCTGAGATACTCTTGAGGGCCACTGCTTAAGACCCGGCTCTCTAGGTGCAGAGAATGGCAGAGTAGTAGCCTCTGCTGGTGGGCAACTGTGGGAGACATTACTGGGTGACTTTAGGGTGCTTGCTGGGGAGACAGAGAAGCTATCTAGGTCCACACCTGAGTCCTGAAGGACAGGATCAGTGAGCACGTGGCTGTTAAGGTGCTTTGGGAGCTGAGGCCTGGGCCTCAGTGGGTAAGTATAGTCCAGCAGGTCTTCGTACTCTTTGTTTGGGTTCCAGAGGGGGGAGTGGCGGTCAGGAGAAGGGGGCAGGGAATCTGGCAGAACACAGGCCCAGTACTCAGCCTGGAAGGAGAGGTGCCTCCTGCCCAACCCTGGAACATCATCCTTAGAGGACACAGGCTGTGGTGACCACTGGAGCGGAGGCCCTGGTCCCACCACCGAGGGAGCCGACTGGGGAACAACCAACTCTGAGGAGGAGGAGACCTTGGCAAAGGAGCAACCTTGAGGTTCCGCCTGCCCTTGGTGACACTGGAGACTGCTGCCCGGGGATGAGGCAGAGATGCTGCAGCTGGAAAACTGAGGTGCAGCGACACCTGGGCTCACCACAGACCTCCACCTCGATGTGAAAGGGAAACAAGAGATGCAAGCCTGTTGGCTGAGATCAAGCACTTGTGGCGACTCTACTGGGGATGGGTCATCTTCTATATCAGCATCATGTCCTGGGCTAAGAGCTGTAGCTCTGGGAACAGCAAGAGTCTGAGGTAGCTCTTCTGAAGCAGAAGTCCTGGTCTCTTCCATCTGCAATGATTAGAAAAAGCACTCAGATGAAAAAAGACAAGCAAAATTTCTTTTTTGGGATGACAAGTTTTCTTTGGAGGCCCGGATGGTAATCAGGAGAGTTCCTGAACTGAAATCAAGAATCAGACAGAGACTATGCTGCTAGTGACCAGTTCTGGCTCAGCCAGCTTCCTTGCTGCCCTCAGTCCTTTAAAAAGTTCTTCATCCACAGACACGTAATTAGTGAGTTAGCAGAATCAGTTATGCTGAGGCTGGAACACATTCCTAGCCTCTGAGAAGGGGGTTCTGGGCAGATAAAATCTCAGTCAATCTGATGCTGACAGGAGATACATCCAAACCCAGCAGGCAAGCAACCCGCCAGGCCTTAACGCTGCTTAGCTCACATGCCAGTGGTTATGGGAATACTGACAAAATAAGCCATCATTGCAGCCTCTGCACTTTGAATTTTTAACCTGCCTGATTAAGAACTCAACCCAGGGGGCAGTGGGTGGTGGTAGTGTGGGTGGGTGGGAAGAGGGCAGGAGCATAGGGGTTGGGCACAGATTTTGGGACCAGACAGACCTCACTCCAACCCTCTCTTCCAGGTGTGACTCTGAATTTCAATTCCCTCATCTGTAAAATGGGAAGAGTAGCAGAACCATTTCCCCAGGACACAAGGCACACGGTGAGAGCACCAGGTCCATACACAGGAAACAACCTATCTGGGTGTGTGCTTGGTTGCCACTGCCTCCCAGAGCCTCAGACTCACCAGTGCCCTGAGGCTCCCATTGACCCTGGCTCCCAGGCAGGTGGGCCAGCCTCGTTCTCTCCCAGTCATGCTCAAAGCCTGCACAGAATGAGTGGCGGGGAGAGCATGCAGTCAGGGCCAGGGTGACACTGAGGAGATCAAAACCGTTCCCATGAAAGGTCTCAGCAAGCAGAACACAACAGAATGTCACGACTGGGAGGGAGAGATCATTCAGGTCACCTTTCCAATTATACTGCAGGCCTGATTTTGTGATTTGCTTGAGGTCACATGCCAGGCAGGACTCTGTTTCATGTAACTCCTACTAGGCAAAGCTGCTTTGCAGTCTGGGAGGCCCAGGAAAATCCCCTTGCCCAGAAACAGAGCTGCCCACCAAGGGTCTGCCAGGTTTCCTAGAGTCCACAGTCCTGGATCTTCCCCAAATCTCCTCAGGGTCCCTCTGGAGCCTTTAAATCACCAACAGGACATGACTCCCCTGTCTGAGCTCCCCTTGCTAATTCTCTGGCTCATAGCCACAGTTCCGTACTCCTCAAAAGGTCAACTGTCACACTGTTGAGCAGGAGATGCTATGGACAGAGCCCCTGCCAGACCCAAGGCCCAATTTTCCAGGTGAACCTGCAGAAAAGAAATCACACCCAGGCTCCCCCAGCTAGCACAGTGACCAGGGAAACATGAAGGGTGGTGATAAAATGCTGGAACACACTCCTACAGGACAGCTCAGGCACATATACAAGCCCATTTGTTCCTGTACCTACCTGGTTTCCCACACAGTGCGGGTCTGCAGTCCCCATGCCAGTAGGAGGAAGCAGGCAACCAAGAGCAGGCTTAGACCCACCAGCTACTGGTTCCTTGCAGAAGTTTTCACCCTGTGGCTGGCAGGCTCCATAGGGGCCTCCAAGGCCGGCCCCACTGCAGGAGGCAGGTACATGTGGCTCCTCTGCCCCCCACGCAGGGAAGGCAGGCCCTCCCTCAGCTTCCAGGCGGGGCAGCTGCTCCCTGCTCACAGGGTCTGGGGTGTCCACCTCCTGCTCCTCGCAGCTCCAGCTCCCGTAGGATGGGGCCTTTGTGTCCTTGGACGCTTCCACCGCCACCTCTACCTTTTCTTCCCCCAGGGCCATTAAGATGACCCTAGATCAGGGCCCTCCTGAAATTTTCAGTCTCCTATAAAACAAGAAAGAGAGAAAGATCAATTTTCTTGCCTGTGCCTCCAGGAAACCTTGTTTTTAATGAATAAGACAAACATTGGGAGTGGGGAACAAAAGAAACAAATGGTGGCTATTTCCTCAGAGGAAAAAAATAGAAGCCAGTCTTTCCCTGGTCCCAAACCCTTCCAAAGGAGATGCAGAAACACACCACATTGGGGCCTCCCTGGTGGCGCAGCGGTTGAGCGCTGGGCTGTGAAGGTGCCCACAGCCTCTGCAGTGCCGGTTCGATCCCCAGCCGCCAGGGAGGGTCCCACATGGCCCGCAGACCTCTCCTGCCGCACCTGCTGCTCCCCTCAGCAGTGTACTTTGTCAGTCTGCCTGTTCTGCTCCCCGCTCTGGCTCTGGTGAATTCTCTCACCCTCCCATGCTTCTGACTGTACCCAGTGCTTGTATAAATAAATAAATAAATCTTAAAAAAACAAAACAAAACAAAACACCATATTGTCCTGTTTTTAAGTGGCTGGTACCAACCCCAGCAGTAGGCACCCAGGAGGGTCAAATGCAGCGCCAAATAGGAGTCAAGGTATGGTCCTGCTTAAGTCACTACCCCTTTGGCCTAACCCCTATTCCTGGCCTACCACTCCCCCTATCCCCCCAAAAAAACCCACAGCCCTGCAACCCATCCCACTCTGCTCTAGGGAACATAGGCCCAAGACTCTGCTGAGCCCAGGATATTACCCCAGTGCCTGGTGAAGGAAGACCCTCTCACAGACACCACCCCAAGAGATGGAGCAGGTGGGTGCTACTCATTCCAACAATGGCCCTGACTCTTAAAGAAAGAGATTCAGTTACTCTCTTTGTGGCAGCTGGGATTATGCTTAACTTGATAACCAAGAGGAATCATGGAAATTCAGCTGGGTAACAACGGTAAGGGTCATGTAACATGTGCATGTGGCAGTGAGAGTCAGGTAGCTGGCACACAGGCTCGAAAGAACCAGGGTGAACACTCAGGGAGGGAAGAAGAAATACTCAGGATCTGGATCTGAAAATGAGATCATTCTATTAAGTTTCAGGGACATGGGGGGATCCACCCCCTCAGCCTAAGTGTGCAGGCCAGGGAGCACAGGTGTATGGGGCTGCAAGAGGACAACTTGGAAGTGCAAGCAAAGGAACGCCAGCCAGGAGTGCACATGGCCAACCTCAAAGCTTAAACCTGGGCAGGACTAGCCTTGATTCCTCAGAGACCAGGAGGCAGAGTGGTGTGGCAAGAGAAGGTGCTGTGTTGGGAGGGAAGCCCGAGAAGGTACAGGAGGCCATCAATGTGGCTCATCAGCTTGGCTCACATGTTGGGAAATACAACTAGGTGAGAGTATGAATCCTGAAACTGGTGTACAGAAAACTGGAAGGTTCTCTCCTGCTCCAAGCCAACCGAGAAGAACATACACCACACACATTTGCATAACCACCATGTGGGGCAAGCGTTCATCAGAAAGCCATGTTTTAGACAGGTAATATGCCAAAAAATTCACTGTGGTTGAAGTATCCCTGCATGCGTGGCCCACTCCTCACTAAAATGAGCCTGGTGAACCAAGGGTCACCTACTGCCAGCAGTGTTATGGGTGTGTGTGACACATCAGTGTTCATAGGTCACCTGACAAGTAACAGGAGTCCACCAGAGGGAGAAAAAGCAATCAGTTTTTCATATAAACCAAGTAAAATATTTACTACTAGATATTCCCACTTAAGAGGTAAGGGATCTTACTGATTATGTGTATGTCTTTCATGCCGTGACAGAGACTAGCACAAGCATTTCTCATCGCTCTTTTACATAAAGTAGTAAACTGTACAGCACACATTGTTCAGAACCTTGCTTTTCTTTCTTTTTTTTAAAACAAAATATAGTTTTCTCTTACTTTTTTTAATCACTGCCCAGTACTGTGTTCCATTATAAGGATGCTTTCTAGTTTATTCCACCAGTTCCTTATCAGTGGGTATTTGGGGACAGTTTCACATTTTTTACTACCACAAACAATGCTGAGCTGAGCACACACATCACTTAAATGCATGCACACTCTGTCACAACTGTGGGGGTGCACAGCAGAGGCACCCACACATTACTTCTGCCACATGACCAAGTGACACCCCCCAGGGTGGCATCAGTGTACACTCCCACTAGCAGCACAGGAGAGTTCCAGTGGGAGGCAGGCCCTCTTATCCTCACATTTCACAGAGGGGCGACCAAGGCTCAGGAAGATTCAAATCTGGGCCTGTGGGACTCCAGAACGCAAGCTGATATGAGCCAATTAGCGAATGAGTTACAAACAGAAAGCACCTAAGAGAAGATAGTGGTAGAGGGACAAAGAGGTATGACCAAGTCCTGCTGAGACAAATTTTCATGGAGCCACATCCTTTTGGCACATGGAGAAACATTACAGGCTATTGTGTTTCCAAAACTATGAGAATAAGCTCAGCCATGGGCTAGATAAATTAGGGTCAAGGCTGAATCTAGCCCTGTGTCCCCAATTTGTAATTCTTGTACCATTCTGGAAAACCGAATGGCCAGAGTAGGGCTCTTCCTTCCCCTAAAGGGTGTGGTTTACAGGGAGCGGGAAATAAGATGCTGCTGAGGCAACAGAGGGCGCAAACAAATGAGCTGTGTATTTGTATTGATGATGTATTTTAATTTGTTTAGTCTGCATTTCATTATTCAAAAAAGAAGGTATTCATTTATCTTGGGGGGTGGTGGTAAGTGGTGAGCTAGAATTATAAGCTATTCACATTTATGACGATATACCTCTAGGCAACTTTCAAGTATACACACAAACCTGATCTAGGTTAACAGTGTTGCCAGAGACCTTTCAGCAACCACGAAGGAGGTCTGAGATTCTGTCATTTGCACAGAAGGGGTACTACTGAAAAAAGGGAGAAGAGGTGGTTATTTTCTCATGCTGAGTAAGCAGTCCCTTCATAATCTTAGTTATAAATCTGCCTCAAAAAATCATGTACTTTTCTCTGTGTTACACAAACTTATTACAAGAATTAAGACAGATGAATGTGAAAGTCTTCAAATAAGTCCTGAGGAGTGAAATTTCTGTTGCTGCTGTTTAGGTGCAAACAACTAAGGCCTGATGGGGCCAGGACTCCTAAAATATGGCTCTGGAAGGCTGTGGCCCAAGGACATTTTTGCTGGCTGCAAGCATTTTTGCTGTCTCCAGAACCAGAGAGAGCAAGCAGTTCTTTTTGAAACTAAAGGTGTTTTTGCTCAAGATGAAACAAATTCTAACAAGGTAGGTGTGCTTACGAGAGAGAAAGAACAGCACAGCGACTCCTGGCGGCCGAACGAATAAAACTAGCGTCATCTGAGGAAGTCAGTGACTTGGTTCATGCCAAATTTTGAAGCAATCTTCCTGCTAACATCATTGGACACAGAATTCATGTGATACTGTACCCCTCAAGGATTTAAACTTATTGAAAAACCAATAAAAGTGAATTTTTTCTGTTGTAAAAAAAAAAAAAGGAAATAATTCCATGAGAGTCGATTCCAAAATATATGTGAGACACTACAGAATACCAAAAAAGCAAGATATCAATTAAGAAATAATTCAGGAAAACTCCTTCCAATAACAACTGCTGAAAGTAAACCACTTTTAAAACAGCAGTCAAGCTGTTTTAAATGAATGATGAAGAAAACATTGTCATAGTGAATGCACCTGTTTGACATTCGTAGGGTTCAACTCTGCATTTGACAGGTGAGCCTCTCCAACACTGCACAAAGGTCCAATCCTCATTTCCAGATTCTAGATTTTACACATCACTCTTTCTGACTCTGGTGGGGAAAGGGTGGATATAGGGAATTCTCCTTGGACCCCTCCAAACAAAGAGCTTACATTTGGTCACAGCATCCAATGGACTGATTGCTCAGACTATGAAAATGAATGGCTATGTTGAATAACCAACGCAGTCTCCTGGGTCAGCAGCTTTAAACAACCTGCCACTCTTATGTTGGACCTCCCTGCTCTCAGATTACACATTTTACAGTGTTCCTGGAAGCCAACAGCTCCCTGGTGGGTAGAGGACTCAGAGCACAGATAATGCACAATGAATTCAACCCATTTATCTGAGAAAGTCTGCACGCGTGAGAACCACCCTGTCCTTGGCCAAACCAAGAGACAAGTCATATAAGCTTTGGGATATTCAAGAGACTACCTGGACTTTACTATTAAAATTTTCCATTTGTTTTCAGGGCCTGTGGATGCCTTATGACCTGATGGGTATAATTAGGAGTGATGAAGGCTTGACTTACTCTTGCCCTACAGCAAAAATATGCCCCCGTATTACGGATGTGGTAATACTAACTCCTAAGCCTGGACATGTGATCCTTCTTGGCATCTGCAGCACCACCCTCGCGCAGTCCCACCACAGCTGCCAGGGTTCCTTCCACTCCCTCCTCTCCAAGATGGGAGAAAGGACTGGGAATTGGGGGGGGGGCGGGGAGGCAGAGGGAACAGGGGGAGGAGATGTTCCTATCTTAACCAATTTATTCAAATACACAAATGATTCAACTAGTCACTCCTCTGACCCCAAAAGGACTTCCCTCCAGACTCTTTAAATAAGAGCACCCGAAACAATCTGATTTATACCAATGGTGCCTGGGACACTCTATTCTGACATGGCCAATCACTGTACCCAGTGCACAGAGAGCCACTGGTACCAGACACATAGGGCAGGTGCTGCTGACAGAGCAAGCCTTGACAGTTCAGAGGCCAAAGCCTTGGAATTCCTTGTTTTCACAGGAGGCCACAGGTCTAAGTGGTAAAAGCCATGTGCACCCAGGGGCAGAATCTGGTCAGAGAATCAGACAAAATGGCTCTCAGTGGTACTCTTTCTCAAAGAGTATCAAACTGCCCACAAGCAAAGGGGGATGGGGTGGGGTAGGGCCAAAGACTGTCAGGCTGGGGGAACTAAGTTTATGGAGAATAGAGCTTAAAGGCAGCAGCCAATTCAGGCATGGGAGGCAGGGTGAAAGGGGGTATAGATGTATGGGGGGTGGCAACAAAAGGGGTACTCACAAGACCAGAGGCCTGCCTCAAAGCAGAGATAGGGTGCCAAGAATGCTGTGGCTGGAGGCTAGAGACTCAGAGGCCAATGCCCAAGAGCAACTGATCTTCCACCTGTTCCTTCCCTGGCTACAGGAGGCCCCAGAGCCCCTTAGTCCTCCACATTGGCCCTGACTTTTCAGTTGGGACAGGTCACCTTGAGTGCTGTGTCTCCCTCCTCTGCAGGTGAAAGCAAAATGAAAAAGAAATAGGTTCAAAGCTACAGGGGTGTATAATCACATGTTTCAGGCTTGGTAATAGGCTGATGTCACTCCCAGGTTCCTTGGATACAGCAGTCGCTCTCCTTTCCCTGCCACAACTGCTTCCCTAAGTTTTGCTTAGGGTCACAGAAGTCCCACAGGGCCCTAGGAGGAGCCACTGTGTCCCTCCATATCAACACGGTGGGAGGGCTGAGGCAGGGTCTCATGGCAAGGCTAGTCTTCTAACTCATGGTGACAAGTTTTCAGGTGGCCTGCAGAGATGCAACTGCCACATCTACAAGGAGCTTAGCCAAGCTTCCAGCCACCTCCTGCCCTCAGCCCCAACTTATCCAGTTTCCTCTGCAGTCAGCAAAGCAGCCCCATCCAACAAAGCTCAAAGTATGAGGATGCTGAGGACTGAACACGTCAATCAATTGTACCCTGTATTCTCACCAAAGAGCAAAGTAGAAAAACAGCTCTCCGGGAACAAAAATTGCTTTCACTGTTTGAGGTCACGTGGTTGTGGTTCCACAAGTCCTTGCTTTTACTGTTCTGGCAATTTTCTGTGAGGCTATCAGGCTATACATGTAAGACCAGTAAGAACCTGATTTCTTCTAGAGATACTATTAGGAATGTCATTCACTAAACCAAAGCATCCTTCTTGGAGGACCCATGGGAAAATAATTCTCTGGAATCAGTAATAGAAAGTTATTCCACTGGTTTTTTTTACTACCTTTAAGGTGATGGCAAAACCAACAAAAATTTTCCTCTCTGCTTTGGTTGCAAGGAAGCTCAGGCTAAAATCTGCAATCTTACCAAAGTAAAAAAAGGTACACGAGAGGCTTACCATGTGTACTAATCATGCTCTTGACTTCCTCTTCTCTTTAAGTCTATCTATGCTAATTGTTTTATTAGAAATTTTGTTAAACCAGAGTTATCTTGGAAAGATTTCTCAAATCATTTTTTTAATTAAACTTCCTGATTTTCTTACATCATTCATTTTTGTATAATATTTGATTTCTCCCCTCAAGTGTAGTCCCCACATAATTCCCATTACCATATCAATAATGAAAGGTCACCAAATTCCCTTGTGCTCTTCCCTTCCCTGTTTTGATCCCACTCCCTCCCCTGCTGTATGCCTCAGATCTATAGTTAGCCTTAAATCATTTTTTGGAACCAAACAGAGAAATTGTTAAGACTAGAATAAGACAAATTTTCAAAAGCTCAGAAATCTAAGAATTTACCTCAATACCATAGGAAAACAAAAGTTGTTTACCAGTACTTTTTCTAAAAAGCAAACACAGATACTTATGTTAGTACCCATCTACTCAACATGTGCTACAAGCAGCAGCACTGTATCACCTTAGAGCTTTCTGGAAATGCAGATTCTCAGGCCCTGCCCCAGAACCCTGGAATTAGAATCTGCATTTTACCAAGTGCTTATCAGTCACTGGGAGAGCACTATGTTTCAGAAACACCAGGCTAATCAGGAAGCCTGTTTCAGTACCCTGGGAAAAAAAAACAACTATACAGCTTTACAGCCTCTCATTGAGTGCCCATCTTTAAGCCAGGCACATAGAAGCAAAGTTATGGCCTTTGTCCTGAAGGCCATTGCAACAGGACACTACAAAGAGCTCACACTTTGCAGCAGGTTTTTAATGGCTAATTATAGAACAAGCAGTACTACTCCCTTGAAGGGATTTGTTGTGGCTACACTAAAAGCAGCAGCAGAGGCCAGAATCCCGTGATAGTTATAAGTAAGAAGAGCAAAGGAACTTGTTTTGGAGACTCCAAATAATATAAGAGAAACCAACATGCTTAGGGGACCTACAGTTGAAAGGGACTATACATCTTAGCCTGTTTACTGTGACCAGAAAATGGTACAGGAAAACCTGGAAGTGAGGCAATATCCCGTAGGGGTTCTATCTGCCACCTGTAGGTCTGGCAACCAGGTCAAAAGCCAATAGGAGGACTTCTTTTTACAATGTTTGTGAACAACTCTAAAGACGGATATTTCTTCAGGAAAACAGATTTAAGATATAAGGAGAGAAAAGCCACCCAAAGTTCACCTACACAAGCTCTGCCTCTCTAGCAGAACCAACCATCTCGATTTTTTTGTCAGCCATATCAACCCCATGTGCTTCATTCCTCTACTCTTACATGACGATTTCAAGTAACAGTCCATAGTAAGAGTGCACTAATCACTACTACATTACCTGCCTATACTGATGTCTGACACTTAATCTCTAGGGGGTGCCCAGGCTCTAAATGCATAAAGTTAATCTCTTACTTTTACTGTGTGTGGAGAGTGAATCAGGAATGGCTAAGGGTTTATTAAATATAGGAACAGATAAAAACCAAAAGGGAGGGAGACTCAAACAGGCCCAGTACCACACAAATATTTAATGTTAGTGAATCTGTTCAAGTATCTTTTTATTTTTATTCTAACAATTGTTTATAGCTACTGAAATATTTTTTCAGGAATTATGCTAAGCACTTTTTTTTTTAAAGATTTATTTATTTATGCATGCAAGAACTGGAGTACAGGCCAGAATTGGGAGTGTGTGTGAGAGGATTCACCATAGATAAAGTGGGGAACAGAACAGACAGACTGACTGAAATACATTGCTGAGGGGAACAGCAGGTGAGACAGGAGAGGTCTGTTGTGCCATGTGGGTAGCTCCCTGGCTGGCAGGGGATCAAACTCATGCTGCAGAGGCTGTGGACAGCTTCACAGTGCTGTGTTGTTAACCCCTTGCATCACCAGGGAGGCCCTGCAAAGCACTTTAAATTAACATTTTAATGCTCAGAACCAATGGAATAGTTACTGCTCTAACTCCATGTTACAGATGAGGACACTGAAGCACAGAGAAGTTAAATGGCTTCTCTTGAGTTTGTAACATGGCAAAGTTAGTCTGATTTTACT